TGCTGACACGATGACAGCATCGTCTTAGAAATTACCCAGAATGCACCAATCATGTCACTGCGAGAACATCACTTCCTGGAACGCCGCTGGGGTGTTTCCCCGTCACACACTTTCTGCCCCAATATAAAACTGGGGCAATGAGTTTACTTAAAAATAAACCATTGTGCAAAACATGCAGTTTTTTGAGAATATGACTGGTGATGGTAAATTCTGGAAAGGGAGCCAAAAGTGGCTTTATGGAACAACTGCGTGGTGACCTAACAGGGACCTCGTGATGACATCGCTGATGTCACACGCCACTAATCTGCCGGCACATTGGACACGTGATGCAGGATCTGCATGTGCGCTGAGCATCACTCAGGTAAAGCGGACAGCCCATGCAGACTGCAAAACATACAGTTTTTACTTTGCTTGCGTGTCCCATCCACCCCTACAGGAGTGTAAACCCGGCGGAGATGATGAGGGTGATTATGCTGACAGCAGAGGAGGTATTAGATGACACATTGAGAAAGAATCCATGAATTTACACCATCCATATTTAAAAGGAGCAGTCAGCCAGCTCTGGCTCATGTCTGAAAAAGTCCCTGCTTGAGAAAGTGCCTGTGAGTTTAATGTGAAACATCCGTGACGTGATTCACCGTGAGCACGATCGCGTCCGCAAGCCTGATTCACGTGCCGATTTGCCGGTTCATTATTCATTTGACACTTGCACTGCCACCTGTCAGGGCTAATTGCGAACTGTTTATGGTTACTTATGTTTAATGTCGAATGTCCGCTCTCGTATTATTATGTTCCCGGCTTCAGTCTTTTGAGTGGCCGATCGTGCATCGCGCTGCACAATGTTCTGAGTGTAACTGCGGACATGTCAAATAAAATGTAGGTTTGATTTGAATGGGTGCCCTGTCAGTCCTACAGCGTTGCTATTGCGATGTATATTCAGTTCTCTGTCAAAGCCACCAGCCGATTCATCTCTAGGTAGTGTTTAAGTTTGGGGGGGGGGGGGCCTTCGTCAATCTTTTTAGAATTGGAGAGCTGAGGAAAAACAGGGCTGGGGCACACATCCATCTGTTAGGCTGATCAGACTAGTGTCTCCCAGGAACCTCCTCCCCGCTCTGGTCCTCCTCTATAGATTGTCCAGATCCTGCGAGTGGCCCCCGCTTCTCCAAGGTGCCCCCGTTTCACTCACTATTTGCCTTTCTCATGCCTCCCCATGCCTGTGGGGGGGTGGGGGCATAGTTCCAGTTCCTCATGTCACGGGATTGTTTGACCAAAGCTTGTGTCTCTCCAGCTCATCTAAACCAGATGTCCATTGTGTGTGTGTGTGTGTGTTGGGGGGGTACTGGGCTTGATCCGAGAGCGCACCTGAGGCACCACAGCCTCGCTGAACCTGCCACTTCCACACCAGCTCCTGGCAGGACCCGGCTCTCGCCTCTGGGACTGTATCTGCCTCTAAACCTGCATCAGACTCTCGTTACTCTCATGTGTGCATAATGAGACAGGCAGAATTAGACGTGAAATCCGGAAAGCATTCTAGAAACATCCACATCATTACTCTACTCGCTTTGATAGTCCCTAATTACCCAGAGCTCCCTGCAGTGCAAGCAGCCTGACGTTCTGGTGCAAATGCGTATGACTTTCTGTGTCAGCATCATATCAGGTTGATGTTAAACTAAGCGCAGCTTGGACCGCAGCTCTGGAGTTTGGAACTCTATGAATCTCAGCTCAAGTTTAGATCTTTTTAATAACATTTTTATGTTTAGCTTAGTTAAGAGGAATTAACTACCCATCCACATCAGAATCCTTCTCAAAAGTTCAAGAAACACCCATCTCTTCTGGGAACAACACAACTAACCCTCCAACCAGCAGCCTGGGTTGTTTTCATCTATGCAACGTGGCGGTGACAGGCCAATAATATGCTGGAAGAGTTAAAAAGCTACAGGATAGGCTGTATGTGAAGTCTTATAGGATAGGCTGCATGCAGAGTGAAGCTCTTATACGATAGGCTGTATGCAAAGCAGGGCTCTTACACGATAGGCTGTACATAAAGTGAATCTCCTTTTGTGTTAGGCTGCATGTATTATGAAGGCTCTTTTTCGCACTTGTCTTTTGAATAGGTCTCTTCATAGGTTCTTACTCTGTCTGTGATGTATCACATACCTCTTGCTCTGATACTATCTTACGCTCGCTGGAAGCTTAGCCTGGATGCACTTATACCTAGTAGGCTTCCTGACAATTGCCTGCTTATAAATGCACTCTCTGCGTCACTTACACATTGCTAAATAAATGTGAACATATGTTTAAATATAAATATAGAACTGCTACTAGCACAATGAATGTGTGTGATGCCTCATTATAATTAATTTCGGAGAATGGCCTGACGAGTAAGAACGAGTCAAAGTGTCAGCTAGGGGTGTCAAAGAAATCCACATAGTAATCGATACTAAAAATTACTATCGGATTAGATACTCATTTGCAATAGTATTGATAGCAGCAGTGCAGTCTTCGCCTCCTTCAGACACACAGCTTCACGCAGCCCCTCTCCTCACTAGTAGCTGAACACAAACCCCCCCAGGCCTTTATGAGGGATTTCAAGAGGCCAGCAAAGGTTCCATTTCAACAACAACAAAGTACTAAACAGATATGATAGACGTTAACCAGGCAGGTGTACATGTTAACGTTAGTCGTGTAACCCAATCGGCCGATAACCACATTAACTATCTGTTATCGTTAAGGTAGCGGCTACGGCTAGAAATAAAACGATAGACGACCTAAAAATAATGTTGTCATTGTTGCTGGTTTGTATTTGTATTTGATTTTTTGCACTTCCTCAGGCAACCGAAAAATAGTGCTGTCTTTCTTTCTTGCACTACCTAAGAGAATCTTAAGAATATTTGATATACATACAGTACACACCTTAGTCATGTTACTGTATTACAGACGTACAGATGACTTAAAAATAGTGTTCTTTGATGTTATTGTTTGAATTGTTCAAATCATCATTTAAAAAAAAAAAAAAAAAAAAGATTCCTCTTAATGTTGTCACCCCCCCCGAAAATCAAAAATGGTATCAGTATCGAGTTTGAAATTGTAGTATTGTGGCAAACCCTACTGTCAGCTATCGGCACTTCAACAGGTCATCTTGGGTATATCTCCTGTTTTCGGAGCCGTGAGAGAACCACCTGTCCTGTTCGCAGAGAGCCGGCCCATGGCCCGATTAGACTGTTCCAGAAGCCGGGCGTTACGTTTGGATTAGTTAGCTCCTGGCTGTCGGAGGACAGATATTTATGGCTAATTGAATGAGTAGGACTGAAGGGCGGGACAGGTTCCCAGAAGCCGGAGAGAGTCTAGGCATTGAGCTGTAGCGAGCGGGGTGTCGGGGGGGGGGTGGGGCCTCGACACCGCTGCCTTCTTTCAGTTAGAAACATCCATCCCCCAACAAGGCAGCGCTAATCCCAGGCTGATTTATATTCTTTAGCTTTCCTGATAGCTGAAAGCGGGGCCGCGGTGAGCATACAGACCCTTTTATGGTTAACAAAACCATGCGAGGAATGAAAAAACAGCCAACGTGTGATTCTCTGCTGGACATCCATCCGGTGGGGAGCAGAGCCGGCGAGATTGCTGCTTATACACAGGACTCGGTTAAACGCGTCTGGGTACGCCGCCTGGTTGGAGGAAACGGCCTCGGGGACCCTCGTAAAGGGCCGAGGTTGACCAGGGTGTCCTTGTTTAATGCCTGCAGCAGGCCCTCGTCTAGCTGAAAATGACACGTATGTCAGGGTACCGTTTCATCAGCACTTTCTTTGTTTTAGGGAGCCTGTGTTCTAGGCTTTTTGTCCCTCCTGCTGTGCCGTACTGCTGCATTCAAAGTGCAATTAGATAGTTTCCTCTGAACCCCGACCAACGGAGAGACTTAATTAACAACAAAGAGGCCTGTTGCTGAATACAGATAACCAGAGGAAGACAGTGGTTCCCAGGCGAGAGGGGCGAAATCGGGATGGGTCACTGAGACACGTTGGACCTGGAAACCCTTCACAAAGAGCTTGTTTACGCTTCATTTTACGCTGCATTCAGAGCTCCATTTATTAAGGGAGACAGTGTTTTACAGTGACAAACGACGTCTCTGCAGTGTCTGAACTTCCCCGTGCCCCTCCTGCTCTGCTACTGCCAGCCGTCCTCTCGCCCCCATCCATGTCCTGCTCAAGCTCAAGCTAAACCGCTCCCACACCGAGGCATGCAGTCGTCCCTCTGGCCATCCTTCGTCGTGCTGCGTTGTTACAGATGCCCCTCCAGTGACAGGCCAGTGCAGCTGGGGACCCCGTCCAGATAAGAGCCACTGTAGATGAACAGCATTTTAAAAGGGGAACTGAGTGCTGAAAAGCACCAGGAAAAAACACACCAGGACAGGGGTTCGGGACCCTTTACTGCTCCCCCGCTACCTGGGAGACAGATTCTTCTAGTCTGGTTCACAAAACAAGTGTCAGCATTCCTCTAATTACACGAAAACAAACAGTGAGGCGGGTAAATGACAGCCCCACAAACTCATTAGTGTGGCATTCCCGTAATGGAGTTACATCATCGTTCTGCTGGTACAGCTTCAGCCAGGATGTCTGCCGAATGTCCTAGGGGGGATTCGAACCCCCCGAGCTGCATTCTGACCCGAGTGGGGGGCCCTGGACCAGAGCTCTGTGTGAAATCTCCCTGTGGCCACGTGACTTTCGTGTTTGTCGTGAGGAAGCTTAACACCTGATGACAAAATCGCGCTGTTCCTCCATCACGTACGCAGCCTTCCTCCATTTCTGTTCTGTCGATATGCTCTCAGCAGAGCCTCTGCTCCACATTCACACTTCATAGACGTCCTTGCTCATGATCACATGGCTTCAAAGCCAGTGACCGGACCCCCGGACGCATGGCTACAGCCGCCTGCTATGTGACCTTGACCGCTGCTGAAACCTGTAGCATCACTGACTTTGCCCCCCTCCTTTATCCCTCCCCCCCCCCAGACACGACGCAGGGCCCTGAGCCGCAGGTCCACATGGCGGAGCGAAAGGCAGAGCTCGAGCAGCAGCCCTGCGTGGCCGAGCCCCGCCCCCAAGGTCATGTGATGGCCATGGAGCCCCGCACCCAGGGCCGCATCTCCGGCAGCGAGCTGATTGGCTACGTGGGCATCGAGGCGGTCCTGGACCAGATGAAGCGCAAAGCAATGAAGACTGGATTCGAGTTCAACATCATGGTGGTGGGTAAGTGTGGGACGGCCACTTGGTGTCTGCTGTTAAACAGCAGGATAACAGACACATTCATCGTTACAGGCTCCTCCCCAGCTGGTGTAGTAGAATTCCTGTATTATTAAAGGCGACTGTCACTTGAGGCAAGACCTCAGGACTGACTCAGAGAGCGCGAGCATAGAAAACCGCGATGCTACAGATGGTCATGGTGTGATTTAGGCAATCTAGGGCAGGGTTCTTCAAATCTGGACCTCGATTCCAAATCCAGGCCTTGTTTTCAGTTCTCCCAGGTAGTTAGTTTAATGATTACTGATTCTGATTGGCCAGAGGCTTCACACCTGACTGACAGGTAAAGGAAGGCTGGAAAACCAGCAGGGCTCGAACCTCGAGGACCGTGATTTGGATAACCCTGATCTAGGGGATCTTTAGGGGATCTAGGATGCTGTTATTAAAAGGTGGCAGAGAATGTGTGGAGGCACCAGCACCTTCTACTGCAAGAAAAGAGGTAAAACCACTCTCCCTAAAGCATACTGGGCTTTTGTTTTAAGGTGCATAGAAAAAACATGTTTGCTGATGTTATCCTATTAGCACATGAGCCTGTGATGTAGTGTCTGCTTGATCTGAGATGGAAAAGCCTCCTTGGTCTCCATGGGGGCTGTGAAGCTGGACGTCTCATGTGTGACAGGAGAACCTGGTCATCCTTCAGACGTTTGCTCCTGATTAGAGGCCGGCGAAACAGCTGTTACACGCAGCAGCCCATAAACTCAGAGGATGTGTATTATTGGTAACCTCACCCAAAACGACTTCAGATAATTCCAGATATTTAACCCAAAATTAACCCAAACTTAACCCATTGTGGCCGGAATGAACAAAAACCAAGAGCTGGTATTTATAGGAGCTGCGTGCCGTTGACATTTGCATTTGTGACATCGATTGTTAGGCTAGAGGCAAATTGGTCTAAGCTTCTAATTAACCGATAAGGTCAGCCTGTCTGAGAGGAGAAGTGCAGTATTGCATAGGTCACATAGGCCGTTGATAGACCGTTGATGGAGCATGTTCATCGAGCCATTCATATCTACACCATGTGGCTTTGTTTGTAAAATCAGGAGTATTTTCAAAACCTGCAGCAGCTTCAGTCAGTCTGCAGTCCTGCATGGAGGTGCCCAGTGACAAGTCAGTTCACATGATGACCCAGGGTACATGTGTTGTGAGGCCTGATTGGCTAAAAACGTCAGCTGCGGGGCCAATGGGCTGAAGCAGTGCCCTATTTAGTGGAATGTTTTATGCCACAAATTTAAAAAAGCATCCATACGATGATCAGGCCTGGTTGTACTTTATCAGAATGTAGCTCAATGCAGCTGGATCCCAGGCGAGGACGTGTGCCACATAACCTTCAGTGATCCGCGTGGGGTGGGGGGGCGGGACGACACTGTGAGGCCTCAGCTGTCACTTCCTGGACGCCTGGCGGTGGGTCGTGTGCCACCTGTGCCCAAGCTGCGTGGATAACAGCAGCCTGAGAGCGGTGACACAAATGCATGACCGGACCCTGAGGCTCTGTGCCACTGTACCATACAGAGAAATGGGCACACAAGAGACCAGAGGGACGCTCATGCAGGCAGGAAGTACAGGAATTATGGGAAATGTGTGTGTGTGGGGGGGAGGGGGAGCGGGGGGTGTAGCATGAGCATTGCTCCGAATGTTCGGTAACAGAAAACTGAATCAGACATAAGATAACTTTAATAATCCTTTAAACAGCACCCCCCCCGCCACTCTGTATAACTCCCCCCCCTTTCTCATGCAGGAATTCCAAGACTTTAAGCAAACTCAATCTGTTGTGGAATCTCAGCACCCCCCCCCCCCCAAATGAAAAGCGCCAGCAGCCTATTCTCTGAGGCTCCCGTCCTCATCCCTTCCACCACAACATGCCATCTATCTTATTCTAATGCCCCTCCCCCCACATAACCCCCGCCCGGCACAAATCCAATCGTTCACACTACATTAAGAAACAAAGCCCGATTTAAACATCAAGAACACGACGCTCACCTTCTTCCGATGGACGGCCGGCTAATCAGCATTCCTCAAGGTGGCGTCGCGGGCTGCCGCTTTGATGCTCTGTGGCCTTCGAGACGGGGGGGGGGCAGGGGGGTAAAAACCAGGCATAACTAAATACAATGAGTGGCATTTTTTAACGGAATCATGTCCGCGTGAATGTCCCGGAGACCTACGATACTGCTGTGCGGCAGTGGTTTGCAGGATGTGCAAAGGGTAATTGAAATGGTTTGTCAGGTGGGGCCCTGGGGTCAAAGGTTAACAGGGGGGAGGTGAAATTCCAACTGCGTTGAAGCAGCGCCGTGGGATGGGCCCGGACATGCCCCTCATATGTGGCTAGAAACCTCAGGGTGCTGGGCAAAAACCGGCACCTGACAAGCAATGCTAATATTAGCATAGTGTGGCATTCAGTGCAACATTCAAATTACCAATGCTAAAAGTAGCGGAGCGTCATGTGGTACTGCTACAAAATGATATTAAGACGCTGTAAAGCACGCAGATTAGCAACGCTAATATCGACATGGCAGTGAGACAGTGATCCCGTCTGAACTCGGTTAGCGGTTAGCACACCAATCATGTTTAAGTATTTAATGATTCTAGGCATCTCAGTTCCCAAGGGGGGCACCAGGCACATCTCAGAAGGTTGACTTTAAAACCTGAAATAATGGCCTTCTGTGAAATTTAGTTTTTTTTTTTTATGGCCAAAAGGATTACATTTCAGAAACACTATACACTCTCTGTGCATTTCACTCTGCAGAACTCAATCAGTTTGCCTGGGGATAACACTTATGAAAAAATCTACTTCTTGAGTTCCTAATTTGTAAGTTTAATTAAATTATTACAGGTCATACATAACAGTTCTACAGAACTCTGTTTTTCCCCCCACAGACTTTTTAGTTAGCTCCAGTTCAAAAATGTAATTAATATTCACAAATAAAGGAATTCTGCATTGGACTGTAAACTCATACACTGTGTGCCCGTGTGCCCCCTCTGTGACCCTGACGACGAGGACTAGGGAGGTTGGAAGATGAATCAATGGAATTATAGCACATTATAGGCAGGAGGTCATAAGATTATATTGCAACTAGATGGTTTAAATCATTGCAAAAGGAGCTGAAAACAGACTCGGTTCTTCAGTGTCTTTATTTGGAAGGTTCCGGTTGTTCTTAAAAATAGGTTGCAGACACCTTTCCTCTGTTTCCTGGTAGCAGAGGCCGAGCTGGCGGGGGAGAGCACTTTCAGAGAAGCCCGCAGATATGCAGAACCGCTTCAGAAAATTAGATAAGCAGGCCAGGGGATTAATCGCAGTCGGCAGCCCTGCACAGGGTGTAGAAAAAGCCATGGACAGGAAGTGGTTAGGGTTCTGTACTCATGGATGCTTCCCCTGCCAGTTGAAATGCCTCCTTTACTCCAGTGGCATTAGCTGTAGGTGAATATGTATGCAGCGCCACCTGTGCTTGGGAAAAGGTCATGACAGTGGGATGGACTCCCTGCTGAGCTCCCCCCGCCCCCCAATAACCTTTGTGACCCTTGTCCTGTTCCTGTGGATCCAAAATCTCCACAACTCCCTGGGCCATGTGGAACCAATTACCCCCCCCCCCCAAATCACCAATCATCCACCCACCCTCACCCCCCTCAAGGCAATACATTTGCACTCTCCTTCCGCTCTTCACAGGAGCATGAAGGACCTTTCCGGAAGCTTCCCTTTGCCACGGTGGCCCCATGTAAGGGAAGCGTGCGAACGATTCAGCAGGAAGCGATTTACATTTGAAAAACTTAATATCCCCCCACTCCCCACCTTGACCAGCGGTGTCACGTCGATTTGCATGGTCTGGCACAGCATCGTATCCTCAGAGCAGATCAGACGAGGCAAAGTGGCATTATTCAAGAAAAAAAAACAACATAGTGCCATAAAAATAGCTAAGATTTGGATTTTTCAGATGATAAACCTGCGGTATACACCAGCTTCCTGTACTTGCATGTTTTTAGGTGCCCATGATTCTGCCTGCGAGATGGTTGCTGTTAGACGGAGCTCTGATTAAATTCTTGGTGAGGCCTGACCAGCACCGTCGGTCATAAATTTGCACGGTGTCTGACAGACAGCCGCCGCGGACCCATCCATGGTCTCCCTCTGGGCGCTTTGACAAGAACTTTTTTTCATGCCAGCCCATCTCAGTCATCCCTGCTGTTGGACGAGTTCCCATGTTGTCATAGAAACGGGGATGCCTCTGAGACCTGCTCCATCCGTGGGGGTAGGATGGACAGCAGAAAGTGCAGTGTGCATTTTCCAGAACCTCCACAGAACCCGGACGGCTCAGGTCCACTGGGTGACATCTGGCAAAGGCAACTCAGCACAAATCAGCCAGAACGCTCTAAGATGTTTCCAGAAATGGTTATATTTGTTTGCGACACGCCACAGATAACCTACCTGCAGAGGTGGAAAGTTCCGGTCCAGAATGTAAAAACCGAGACCAAGATTTTAATTCAACCAACCAGTTGAGTATGAAGAGTCACAATTACAGAGTACCCCACTGGTTAGTTGAAACAAAATCTTTGTCTGGATTTTTACTTTCTGGACATGAACTATCCACCTCTGCCTACCTGTAACCAAAAGGATTAGCTAGTTATGATTTATCAACAAGCGTGAATTAAAAACCTGTGGAACTGCCAGCCCCCCTCTGAATGTCGGGCTGCACCTTCAGGGCAACAGGATTCACGTTCAAGTCGACACGCTCTTCATTCAAGACATTCCATTGCTTTGTCTGTCACCCTCCCTCCCGCAGGTCAGAGCGGACTTGGAAAGTCGACGCTGGTGAACACGCTCTTCAAGTCCAAAGTGAGCCGCAAGTCCTGCACTCCCGACCACGAGGAGAAGATCCCCAAGACCGTGCAGCTGCAGTCAGTGAGCCACGGTGAGTCCATTCCGCTCGTCCAAAGCCTTCCAGAAATATGGGGGGGCGCCACCTTGTGGTTCCCATAGGGAATTCTCCTTCACGTCTCGTGACAACAACTGTCATATTTCATTAAAAAGAGATTATCGAGAAAACTGACACAGAGTTTAACTGGAATATGAGGATGAAGTACTGAGAAGGTGGGCTGAGATGTTCACTGACGTTCACCTTTGGAGCAGAGCCAGTGAGGTATCACACTGGCAGACAACGGCGAGTAATTAGGACCGAGACCCACTGCAGCGTCTTCACTGTATCCGTCAAGGAAGTGATGAACCATTGTGCCGCAGCCTGAAATGCGGCGGTAACTGTAGCCGAAGTGCAGATCGCATGCTGGAATCTTGCATCCCTCTCACCAGCGGCCTGCTGGAGGAACACCGGCATCTGCATCCAAATCATGAGGGGGGGGGGGGGCTGTCAATCAAGCCACCTTTCATAGAAAATGGCGGAATAATATAGGTTACCATGGCGAATATTCTTTGGCTGCCCCTCACAGCTTACACAAGTGAAGCCTTGACATGCCTGCCATTCATACAGCTGTAAGGGGGGGGGGGGTGCTACATAAAGCAACCCCCTTGGCAGTAAGACCCTCCAGGGCGGCTTATCAGCCCCTGCGGCCAGCCACGGCACACCTTTGGCAGTGTGATGCTCCGATCTGCCTTCACACAAGGCGCCCGCATGCAAGGACCCCCAGGCCTTGCATTTTTTTGTTGTTTAGGTATGTCAGGCGCCTGTCATGCTTGGCTGGGGAGCGGCATGGAGGTGCAGTTATTGCGGGGGCATAGTGCTTTTCAGGTCCACAAACACGGAGCTGGCTGAGGGCCTATCCCCCTTGCTTTCTGTAAACTGGCCCCCTTCCTGTATCCTGACGCAGCGATAAGAATGACTTCTGTCTACATTGCGACTCGAGCTGCATCGATACTGCAATTAATTGTCGAATCACCATTCAGTTTGTGATGATGTTTCATCAGTCATTTTGAACCTCTGCATCGAACTGCAGTACCGTTTAACACCAGCACCAGACGCTGTTTTATTTTACACTTTTTCAAAATTTGCCGATTAAAGATATGTTGTTTGTGTAACCTAAGCTAAGTGCACTGCAATACAAAAATGCAGCGAAATGCAGTCTCCCTTTGAAATTTTAAAAGCACTAAATACTCCCCATGGTGAGTCGCTGAAATGCAAAGCTGTTACGCTCATTAGCAAGTGTGACATTTCAAGGGTGGAGGGGAAGCAGATTCAGTGAAATGCGATGAAATGCTGTTTGCTTTATCAGTGGGTGACAAGCTCACAGAACAGACAAATGTGAATAAATAATATGTAAATGTAGGACTCCGGTGTTAATTAGGGGATTATTAGGGACGCAGCTATTGACAAGACAAAACAAACGTGATGAATTTCTGTCTCTCACTTTGCTGTTCCTTTTTGCTGTTATTTTAAGCTCTTCCGCTCTTGTTTGCCACCCTGACACTGCCGCATTAAGCACATCGTGGAGAGTAGGTCTCCTTTCGCTCTGTCTTGCATCGGGGGCAGACTGGGAAAGGCTCCTGGGAAGGCCCAGACGAAGCCTGCGAGTCTGGTCGAGTGAATGGTTACGGCACGCGGGGGGGGGGATGTGAAAGCTATCAGGCGATCGCCAAACACCAGACCCCCCCCCCCCACATCAGACACACTGACCCCATGATGGGACACTGTCTCTCTCCTCTTTACGACGCGCTCTTCTCACACCACATATCACTGGGATTTTAATTGGCATTTTGGAAGTTCCTGTCACATTTAGGGTCTATTCGCAGGTATGCCGTAGGTTTCTCCCCAGAGGGTTTCAGCCGCATGCTGTTATCACCCCGTATCTGTAAGATACGTTTATAAAGGCCGCTGCCTCATATCTCCTTTAAGTCCTTAAACATCAGGAAGTCGAGCCACTGATCTCTGCTGAGATCTGCCGATCTCTGCTGATCTCCAGAGTCTAGCTGTTTGGCGATTCGCTGTCTGGAGTGTCACCTGCTTTTAGTGAAACTTGCGTTCCGTTACACGCCGCATGAGCGCGCACAGAGCGCCTGCAGTGTCGTCACGGCGACCTGCCCGGCGCCCCCGGCTTCCTGCGACGGACGCCCGGAGATGCTCTCCGCTGGCTCCTCAGCCAAGCAGAGCGTGAACAGCAGGTTCCCGGCCCTCACGTGCACCTCAGACGTGTCCCACAAGATCCCCATGGACTCTGTGCAGTGGCGTTCATGAGGATGAACTGAAGGCCTGACTGATCCCACAAGGCAGAGCACCTTCACTGCGCACCTTCGGTGTGTTTATTTATAAGACGCCGTGTGCGTGGGATCGCAGACAATCTGACTAACCCAGACTGGAGAATCCTTTTGCCAGCCTCTTCAAAGGACACCCCCCCCCCAAAAAAAAACAAACAAACAAACAAACAAACAAACAAACAGATAAGTGCATAGAGGGCATTTTGAGAAACACCGCCCCCTCTGGGAGCCAAGGGGCGCCACAGCCGCAGGAGGCGACCCACAGGAGTCAGACATCCGGTGATCTCACAGCCCCCCCCCCCCCCCCCCCCCCCCCCCCCCCCCCC